GCCAGTTTGAAGCCACTTGAAGGGTTATGGCTGTCTAAAAGGCACAACGGTGGGTGGCTCTAAAGTTCTCCGCCTGGGAACGGGTTTCAAATCCTGTCGTCTTAAGTTTAAAATTTAGAAATAGCATGAAGCAAAACATTTGTTTAACCTGAATTGTTTCTACCTTTTTTCATATTTAGATACCTAAATACAAGAAAAGAATTTAGAAGGCATCTCTTTACCTCACCGATTTAAGCAGACCTTGCTCTCTGCTACGTTTACTATTCTTAGTGTTAATTTTTTCTTCATTTCAATTAGTTTAACACTTGAATTTATTGTTTACACCTGATGTTGGCAGACTAAACAGAAAATGTGTTTGTCTTTACAAAGCAGGTCAAACCAGTTTATACCTGAAGGTATAACATCCATTTATAATAATTTCATTCAATTAAAAAATACGAAATTAATCTAAAAGGGAAATTTAATGCTGTAACGTTTACAGGCTTCCTTTAACAAGTTACTGTAAATTTAGTTGTTTGTATAAACACCTTTACAGAAGGCAGTTATTTCACTTTTCTAAATTTTAAGATTTTTTTTTCTGTTTTCAAATCACTGGCCTTTATTTATTTTTCTTAAATTACATCACCGTTTTTTTTAACAGATAGCAATAGTACTAAAACCTGGGCTATAGAAATGTGTTGCTGTTCATTAAAGCAGATGTGATCATGTTAAAATGCTCTGCTTCATTTTGCTGTCTGCAGTTTACAGTCTTCTGTATTAGTTTTAATATTTGTTAGTGTTCCGTTCCTATAAAGCAAACAGCTGTGAAAACCCACTGGAACAATCCACCCCCAAAACACAAACATTCACTCTACATGCTCATGCAATATTGTCTCATGTGGGCAGGTTACTTCATGTTAGCTGTCAGTATCAACTGTTGGGGAATCTTAAAGGATTTTAAATAGTTATTGAAACCTTAAAGTTATGAAGAAGTGTTAAAGGTTAGAAAAATACTGTTGTTTAATTAAAATAAACCCTTTTTTCTGACTAACTTAAAGAATAAATTTGCCAATCTTGAAAGAAACTGTTTATCCTCTTGTCCTCCTTTGTGCATTCTTATTTTATTTTGCTTATTTGCTAAGATTGCATTTGCTCTATCTAGTATAGTTTACAGGTATTTTTATGATCTTGCTACATCCTGTTCATTGTTTCATAGGCCAGAATAGTGCAAGACATGACAGACTGTTAAATCGGTAACTTCCAAAAGTTTGAAGTGTTAAAAGAAAGTAGAGCTTCTGAAGAAAGTTCATGAACCGCTTTATTAATCCTAAGAATCGCTGTTTAGGAATTTAATCTGTTTGTGTCTGGTTGCATTATCATGTAGCAACACAGCCCTGTGATCAGTTTAATGTTTTCCTCCCATCTGATTATCATCCTGTCAAGAATCTGATGAGATGGCGAGCCTAAGCATGCTGACACTGTCTTATAAGGAGCCTGATTATTGAGTTCCTGTATATTAGGGTTTCACCACATCCTCTGGAAAAGATCATTATTTGTCTTAAGTTTTTGGACGTCTTTAGTGTTTTAGTTTTTTTCCTTCCTTTCATTTGTTTCTTTATTTGTTTGGATTATCCAAAATCTTTCATGTTTTTTTTCTCCTTCCGGTTGAAAAGCTTTTCTCTCTTTCTCCCTCTCACCTATTTGATCTGTTTCATGTTGAGCCTCTCTCTCACTCTGTCACTATCTGTTTCCAGGCCAGCTGGCAGCACATATCTGCCCTCAGGTGTTTTATTGACGAGTTTCTCTCTCCTGCTTTGTACCTACCCATTCAGGCATCCCTCCATCCGGCCAATCTCTGCCAGTGCTCCCTGGTGGCTGTGCTTTGGCCGGCTGTGGATTGAGACTGTGATGTGTTGTTTTTGACACCTGCTTCAGCTCAGACTGACTCACCCCTACACAGAATATTTTCCTTTTTTTTATTATTTTCAGCAATTTTATTCTTTCAGTTAGTAGAAACAGTAAGACTGAAAGGAGCGAGATACAGCATTCGGCGTACTCTAAAACATATATTTAGATTCTATTAATATAAGAAATATTATAAATAACAAAAAGCTTAAACCTCAAATAACATTTTTTAAGTAATACATTTTTTTTTTATATTTGATGATCTGTAGAGCACTTTGGTCACATTGGGTACTTTTTAAATACTGGTTGATAAAATTTTATAACCTTTTTTTAAACAACTAATAAAGTTGAATTGCAATCTAAAGCAGCACTAAATATTTTTTAGTGGCTCTCCCTCTACAGGATCTTTTAAAAAATATCACCATTGTAAACACTCCCCTCCTTTTGCCTTGCATCCCCCTACTCAATGTAATTGGAAGATGCATTTCAGGGTAATATATATGAAGAGGAGCATAGTGTTGCATAATCTAAACTGGTGCACTGAAGCTTCTTGCTAACCTGGCAGTAGCCAGATTGATATACTGTAGGTAGAACTGAGTTGAGTTCTACGTTACCAATCTGGGATGAGTACCGTTCAGTCTGTCCGTATAAAGGAGGGACTTTGAGCTGATTGGGTGACGTGCCAACTAGGACCCGCCTTCCATAATAGTGTAATTGCCTTTCAGCCAAGTGTAGAAGAGTAAGCTGATAAGTCATACATTTTCCAAATCCTGTCGGAAGAAAAGTACAGACAACTTTCTAATCTACAGATGCACAAAGTGAAGAAGCATATGTGAACCAATGTGGACTCACATTTTTGGTTATTACACTGTGATTGCCTATGTTTGTCACAACCACAATATTTCCCAGCTCCCAAATTTGATCATCTGTGAGAAATCAAAACATCTCGTAGCTACTGTCTTTCAGCCAGGTGACTAGCAGTGTGCAGCTTCAGATGGGGCAGGGATATAACTATAGACAATCACAGACACTCTGACCCTTCCTCTGGCTTTTCATTGAAAGGATTTAGTCTCTTTTCCAATGTTCTGCCAAATAAAATTTGTTCTAGTTTGGAACAACAAATCTCAGCACCATGGGGGTGGAATGATTTTTTAGTTTTGAAATGTTTAAGGTGGGAATTCTAAACATATGATGTTTTGTTTTCATTTCTGCTCTCTTAGTTTATTTTTGGTATTTTTGTTGAAAGTGCTGTAAAAATGTTGGCATCTACCTGTGACTTGGTATCAAATACTTGGATCATTAGTTGAAGATGTGTCATACAGCTTTTTATGATGCCTGATATTGCATCGGACACAGATCACTGAATCCAGCATTTTCTTTGCAGACGTTTGTTCACCTTGTTTACGTTCTGTGGCACAGTACTGAGTTGCTCTCTGCTTAAGATAGCATCCTCTGTTGTTTCTCTCCTGATTCATCAGATTTTTTTATGGAAGACCACTCCTTTTTGGTATGGGGAATAGGAGAAGATGGGATCAAAACTCCCCAACTCTTATTCTTTGTAATTCGCTTAATGTGGGAATCTGTGTTTTTATGTGAAAAGCTGATAAGAAAAGATTGATTGCTGTTAGAGAATGATGTCTGTGGAAAGCTGAGCATTTTTTTTTATTAAATTCTTTTGTGAAACTAGCTCTTTTGAAAATATGAAATGGATTAAAATCATAAACTCCTCAAAAAACAGATTATTACCATGCAGGTATTAGGCAGGGACATGTTGTTGATATCAAATAATTTTGGCTGCTAAAATGAAAGCTGCTAAAAAACATATGTTTGCATTTTCAAAATATTTAAACCCTGAAACCCTAAATTTCTTTTAATGCATTAAATAAAAATACTGCCACCATCATGCCTATTGAAAATGACTACAATTTGAAAGTATAGTGGTGAGAAAAAACAAGCCTTTATGTGAAGCAGCCAAATACTAGCTCAGTAGTCTCACTAATTAGTAAGCTAATATCAGCTTGTTACACTCCCACTGTTACTTTCAAGAGCAGAACTGCAAAAGCTATGATAATCTAGATAATACATTGTGGAGAGAAATGACACCCACTGTGTCAAAATGTGGTAAGGCAGATGCCTGCTAGTAATGGCTGAAAGATCACCAAGACACCATTGCTCTCAGACTGCAGAATCCACAGGAGAGCAGCCTCCATCTTCACTAACCATCCACTAACTTCCACTAACCAGCAGTAGAGATGGTTAGTGGACTTAAACCCAGAGGGGCAGCAATATAAGATGCAGCACTAGGCTAAAGGATGCTTTTTTTTTAACCGAATGTATTTAATGTTTATTTTATTTCAGGGCAGTCACTAAATAGGTCATAATCTCAGAGTCCCTTATGTGTTTGAATGCTTTTAAATTTTGCACGTTTGGTTGCATTTATCAAGCACTGCCCATGTATGGATAGTTTGTTTTTCTATACCATTTTACATGTTTCCTTTTAAGAACGGTGCAAAGTTTAAGTCATTTCATTGGTGACTGATTTGGTTTCCTATTTTTATTTTTTTTTACATAACACTTAACTCGATATAGTAATTAATTCTTTCATTAATGCATAAACATTTAAGTAAAAAAAAAA